GCCTTCCTACACCCTCAGAGGGTATTATCTCTCTGCTTCTCCATGTAAATAAAGCTTGGAGACACAGCTCAAGTGATGGTCACAGCACATGTGATCATAACTGGAGAACTGCACCTCAGGACTTTCACTCTTCTACCATGACTATAAATCAAAGGTCTTTCCATGTATTTTCAACACAGTTTGCGTCTTCTAGTTAAGGTCTGTTCAGGCTGCATTTTTCCTAAAGACAAGGTAGGTAAGGACCTTCCACACTAGTTAATGCTTTCAAAAACTGAAGTGTTGTAAGGTAAATAAGGTGCTTTATCACTCACCTGTATTCAGAGAAAGTGTTTTATTATTCAAAAAAAAACCTTTCCCCTTTTTTGCTCCCAAATCACCTGTTATTCACTACTACAGTTCCTCAAAACAACTGAGGAATTTGTTTTCAGCCATTCCAGAAGAAAGGCACAAATAGTCCTGAAGTCCAAGTCTTACCACCCTACACTGAAGCAGATGAACAGAACCTGGTGCAGTAGGTAATGAGTTGAGCAGCTACAGATACTCTAAAGCACATCAGACCATATCTGTGGCAGCTTTCCCTTATTGTCACTTTGTGCCCCAATGCTTTTGTGCCTTGAATCCTACAAAGTCTGTGAAGTGTGTAGAACTCGTACTGCACCAAAACTGTGTTTTACATTTATGGGCAAGAGTTTGAGCAACTACATAAATGAAGTGCTGGTTTTGCTGTTACTTTTTCCTGAGGCCACTCCTCTTATCCATAGCAAAGGGAGATCAAAAAAGGAATTTTTAATGTTTGTCATTTCATTTCAGATGCATGAAAATCATGATTGAATGCATACTGCCCATGAGTTCTGCCCACTGCAGGACATTTACTATTTAATGACTCACTGAGGAGGGTTCCCATAATAAGTCAGCCAGCATACAAAGCCAAAAAACCTGTCACCATTCCTGCTTCCTGCCAACTGCCATTCCCTTCCTTAATGGGCCTGTTGAAAGTGTGTCAAATACTAGGTGGACCTAGTAGTTTGCAGCCAAGTTTTTCCTCCCATTCTCTGGACACTGCCATAGCTACCTCTAATCCTTAGCAAAAAGAGACAGCAACGAGCATTTTTTGCATATCTCCTTGGATTCACAGCAACTCAGTAACTAAGGAGTCCAAACAAACAGGATGGCAATCTTCTCATGTAGACAAACAAAAGCCTGCAGGTACTCTCTCCAAAGGTTTACTCCATACTTGCCAGAGAAAACTCCTCCCAGTGTGCTCACAATTTTTAGTGCTTTAGTTTTCAGATAACAGAAAGCCTTCCTGACAGTGAGTGGCAACTCCCAAGCTTTTAATAGCTGCCTGGGTAACTGGATCCCCAAACATAACAAAGTAGATATGGCAAAACCTCACTTTGTCTCTTATATTCTAGCAAAATGACCCCCAGTTAAACAGTCACCCCTTGAAAAGAGTATGAGGAACAACTGTGGCACTCGCACTCCCAGTACAAAGGCACACAGAGAGTATCTGACTCTCCTTCTCCTTCAAAAACAAATGCATATGGATTGTTTTTCAAGTCTGTGAAAGAAAAAGATATTCCTATACATTTCCAAACTGCACATCAAAGCCTTTACACGTTACACATTTCTTATCCTGTAAGTTAACCAACAGGAAGAGCTGTACATTTCAAGTGATGAAGCTTCAGAAGCAAAGGCAGCTAATGAAAGAACCTAGCATCAAGAAATCCATAGAAAATCCTAACTCCACATGCATTTCCTAGTAAGGCTACAGAGAAAAGATGTGGGAACAGAAACTGAAAGGAGCCTTCTCAGGCAAACCAGGTGGATTCCTGTTAGGCAGCCTAGCTCTTTCAGTATTAACCTTTCCACATTCACTCTGAGTGATGTCCATTTGAGCACTGTTGCAGACCTTTGCTTTTCTGCACTTCACAGTTTCAGCCATGCAGCCTGCAGCACATGCTCAGACAGTTCATACCCACTGGTTCTTGTGCCAACGCTCATTTGGATTAAACATCTGGGTTTTCCTCCTCATTTTTAACTTTCCAACAGTTTCTTGGAATGCAACTACATGTAATGCAGTGTATCAATGAATACTTCAAAGGTCATTATCAATACTTTAAAGGTCATTGAGAGCAGCCCTGTGGAGAAGAATTTGGGGGTGACAGCTGAGCCGGCAATGTGGACTTTGCACACTGTAGCCCAGAAAGCCAACCACATCCTGGGCTGCATCATAAGGAATGTGGCCAACAGGTCAAAAGATGTGATTCACCCTCACTGGTCCTCTTGTGCCTGTGTCCGCTGCAGCTTCTACCTGGCAAACAGAACCTGTGAAACAACTACCTCAAAATCAACCCACCAAAACAAGGCTTGCTTTTTAGTCAGCTCAGTTCCCCATTTCAGCTTGCCACAACTGCCTCTGCTTACCAGTTGTGAAGAGGCAGGAGAGAAAAAGGGAAGAATGTTCCCATACCTACAGAGGTGAATACAGTCTCCATATCTACTTTGTTAGCCTACCTAAGGAAGCTCTTCTACTTTTAGTCTGCTTTAACAGAGACTGCCCAGGGACTATCTCATCCAGTTCTGGAAGAGAGAATTCAAATCCCTTTCTCTGAAAAGTGGATCAGAATTTACATGCATTGATAAACATATTATCACACAATAGGATTACATACATTGTCATTCTTGCCCTCAAATCACACTACTTTGGTGACTTAGCCTTGATCACGTGGTCTCATTTCTTTTTCAGATATCTCCTTGTGTCAATTCCCAAGCTTATACTGTTATTATTCATTCCTATTGCACAACTTCATAAGGCACCCCATTTTTATCAATCCAGTATTCCTTATTGTCCAGCTCTTGCACAACTTTCCAGTTTTCCCTTGAAATAGTGATTCCTCAAGTTTGCTTATCATAGTTAAATTTAACGGTGTAAACAATACCAGCTCCACTTTCAATCTTGAGAAACATTTCGTGCAAGTACCTTTCAAACCAACAGTTCCTCTTCTGACTCAAATCTGTTTCTGCTTCCTCTCCTTCATACTACTCTTTACCCAAGTACCAGCTCTTGCACTAATTCTCCTATATCTCTGCCTTTAGAATAAGCGTGATCCGTTATCAAGTTCCCAGCAGATTAGAGCTACTCCATTTCTTTCACAGAGAATGGAATTCAATCACTTATTCTTACAAAATATGCAGGTCAGTCAGGTATGATCTATCTTTAGCAAATGCACATAGGACCCAGTCTACTTAGTTTCATGTTGTTAATTAATTCTTTCTTTCAAAAATTCTCTAGAGTCATGCATACTACTGATGTCAAATTTATTAGGCTATAGCTGTGCCATTCCTAGCCTCCAGCTCTTTTAGAAAGCGTTCTCCATAGTTCAGTAAAAAATCTGCTAAGTCAGAGGTAGGATACATTTAAAATTAGATTTCTGTTTAGCTTTCCCTTAGGAAGCCTGGCTGGTTGTGGTTCTAACTGACTGTTATTCTATTCCTGCAATTATTCTCCCTGTGACTCAGCTACCCTGTCCCCTTCCTAAACTGCCTTCCTCTCCAGCTTCTCCAGGTCATTTCTTGAGATAAGGAAATTTCAGTTCAGAGGTTTTTTGACCTATTTTTTGACAACATCTCAAAATGTACTTCTATAAATATTTTACTGGTGACAAAATAAAATTCACTGCTACTAATTTATAGTTTGGGGGTTTCTTTGGGTTTTTTCTTCTTTTGTTTTCCTTGCATCAACACCACTTAATGTGCAGAAGAAGAAATAAAAGCCTAGGTCTTTCCCAAGAGGCCAACAAGGAAAGGGCAAAAATATGCTCTTCTTCCTACAGATACCCAACTAAGGCTCAACTTGTAACACTGTTTGACAAGAAAGTGACTAATAAATATCACAACCCTGACAACCCAGATGATCTAATTACTTCACATGAACTGATCTTGTTAACATCCATATGTGAACAGCACCCAGACACCCTGAGGAGAAAGGATGCATTCAAAAAAACCATGCACATCTTTCAGAAACTGAGTCATTGCACCTTAGTCTCTGAGGAACTGTGCTTGAATTTTTTGCTGAAGCAATAATTTAATTCTCAGCTACATTGTATGGAATGTTTTTACAAGGGTCAGATCAACCCTTGTACAATAATAATCACGTTCATTATGTCTTGGCAATTTTTACAAATGCCAAGAACTCTTTATGGAAAAAGACTTACTGGAAATCCAACATGATGTCTATCTGCTTTTGTCACAGCAAAGCAACTGCATGGGCATCCCAGCTGGCAACCACATCCCCTGCTTCAAGGGTTAAAAAATACTAAAATAATCACAACACAAACCGGCCGTGAAATACATGACATAAAATCCTTCTACCTTACAGGCCACATGAAGCAGTCAAGTATGTATGAAAGCGGGGAAGAGACAGGCAAAGAAAACTTATAGCCAGGGTGGGCTTGTTACCCTGGGGCTGTTTGGTACAAGATATACCTGAGCACTCAATGATGGGCCGGCAGGGACAGAGGAAGGTAGATTAAAACACCATTTGGTGCTTTTTCCTCAGGATTCTCTGACTGAACGCATTAAGCACGCACGACTCGAAACAGATCGGGTGCCACGGTGTGCGGCGCGGCCCCTCATTCCCGGGAGCTCATCCCGCCGGCCTTCGCTCCGCCTCGCTCCCGGCGGGAGCGCCGAGGCGGGGCGGGAAGGAGGCAGCTCCATGGCCACGAACTGCCCGGGGCGAGCCGAGTCACGGCGCAAACAGGCATCCCCCGGCCGCGGGAGGCCGCGGCCAAGCGGGGCCTCGCCGGCCCCCAGCCCGTCCTTCACCGCCCCCTGCCCAGAGCGAAGCCCCCCAGCCCCCGGGACGCGCCCCTCAGCGGCGGCTCCCGCAGCCGGGCAGGCACCGCTGGGCGCGGGGGAGGGGACCGGGGGAGCGCCGGGAGGAAGCAAGAGGGGAGCGGAGAGGCGGTAGTCGAGGGACAGCCGCGCCCCCTCACCTGGCAACCCTTCTTGTGGTGGAAGCCCACCACCACGATGTGCAGCACCGGGCCCCGCTTCTCCATGGAGCAGCCCGGCGATGGCCGCGCCGGAGGATGCCGCCGTGCCCGGCTCTCGCTCCGCCCCCCGGGGTCCGGCGGGGACGCAGCCCCGGCCGCCTGCGCTTCCGCACCGCGCGGCCCGGGAGGGCGGGCACGGCCCTCGGCGCCGCCCTCCGCCCGCCCGCCCTGGCGCGGGTCGCGGAACTCGGGATTAGCTGGGCTGGGAAGGGATGGGCGACTCCAGGTCGTACAGATTAGTGGCAGCCCAGAAAGAGCGCTAGGAGTTGTCTCAGTACTGTTTAGTGAGGTTAGTTGCTGAAGGTTAAAACTGAGGGAAAAAATCAAGGTAAGGCTTCTTCCCTCAAGGGGCTAAACCTCCGAGAAAAGGAGGGGACACCTCATCGTTCTCCACAAGCACCTGAAAGGAGGCCGTGCCCAGGTGGGGGCTGGTCTTTTCTACTCGGCCTGCAGTGAGAGGGCAAGAGGGAATGGCTTTAGGATGAAACGGGAGATTTGGATTACATATTAGAAAAAAATATTCAGTATTAATGTTGTCGGGCATTGAAACAGGCTGCCCGGGGAGATGGTGGAGTCACCATCCCTGGTGTGTTTACGAGGCCTCTGGCTCTGGATGATATGAGTTAGGTGTTACAGTGGCAGTGTTGGATGGACACATGGACTGGATGATCCTAAATGTCTCTCTCAAGCTTGGTGAAGATTCTATCATTCTATAAACGTGTCTTAGCATACCCGAGAAAGAAGGCAGTTCAAATACTTGTCCATTTAGTGTGAGAGAAAAAAATATTTAAAAAACTGTATCTTGCTGCACTCATACCATGCTCCCTCTTTAACACCTTTGTTGTGATTCAACTCTGTCTGCTTTAATCAACAGCAATGGTAGAGGCTGAATTCTTTAATAATTAAGATTCTCTGTGGAAATTGGAGGAAGATAATCTTTTTGAAATAACTATAAAAGAGTAGTGCTTAAAGAAAATCTCATCACTAACACAGTACCCTGGGGCTCAAATTATAACAATACAGCATGTAATCACATATTGTTTTTCAACTTCACCAGAAGTGTTGTTATAGAAAACATATACTGCAGGGAACACAGGATAAGCTACAAGGAACAATCCTTCTGGCAAAGGAATAGTTTCTTATTTGTATTAGCCTGTAACTGACAGTATAGTTTACTAATAATTTAAAAACAGAAAATTGCATGCAATATTGGCCATTATCTCCTGCAGTAATGAAACATCCCCCAAAAGATTCATGTGAGTGTTTATGGTTCATTCTCATTTCATTCAGGAAAGTGCAGTCTGGCATCACTCTTACTGTTATGGATTATGCATTATAGAGGCGTCTCAGTGATACTGCTGGATAATGGTGGTTTATGGCTTCTATGAATAGATTATCAGATGGGTTTTTTTCAGCTTGAAATTCTCTTTCTTGCTAAAGCAATAAAAATGTTGAACTGACAACATTGGTCTAGTCTAGGAAAATGAACTAGTTGACATAATCTATGTTGTTTTCACAGTTCATTCTGTGTGCACTTATGAGAAAGAAAGGCAAGTGAGAGCTGCTATGAAACAGCTCTCAGAAAAGTATCAGAATTTTCCTAAGGGAATTTTCTTTCTCCATGCACAGCTAACAAATAGCAATGAAAACTCAGCCCTACAGTTCTTCTATTGTTCAGAGACTTCGCTTAAGAGCCACCAGCTATAATATCATTACCATAGTAATAGTAACTTGTTAGTCATTCTTCCAGTCATAGCAATAAGGCAGAGTTCTCAGCTTATGTGCAGTGAGACTTCTAGAGATGGATAACCTTTCCAGTACAATGTCTGGAAGTAACACCAGAGTTAAGCAGTGCCCATGGCAACTGATAGCTCCCCTCTATTTGTTAGGTATAGCCAAGCTTCCTAAAGAACAAAGCTCTGAATTTGTGGAGACAAGCATGTGAATAAAAAATAAGCGTCCTTTACTTTCTGTTGAAGAAAAGCATAGATGAAATCCTGGCATGGATCTGAGGTTTGTATCTAATTTCTTCTGGATGGCAAGCTCACTTCATATTGGCAGTATGTTTTCTTTGAAGATCTTATCCAAAATGAATGCAGTAATTCCCCTAGAAAGTTAAAATAATCTCTTTTTTTTTGCCATCAACAAGACCAGCTATAATTTGAATTGTACATTTAGTTGCATTAGAGCACCATGATATAGGAGGCAGTGTTCCAAACAGGCTTCCTCATGGAAAATAGTGTATTTGATCCTGTGGGAATGATGAGACTGATAGGACTCTCAAGCATGCAAGCAAAAGAGGGGAGCTTGGATTGTTAGGGAAGTTTGCAGACACAAATGTAATGTTTCTTCTCCTGCAGCTTTAAAGAGGCTTAGATTTGGATGGCAGAAATATTGCTCTCAAATCCTGACTGTTCTCCCCACACGGACAGTCTCTTGTCCTGACCACTGTTGACATTTTTACTGCCCCGGGACCCCCACTCACTTTGGTTGGAAGGGCTTGCAGACCTCTAACTTGCTTCTTCAGGTCGGATGAAACATGTTTGAAGAAGATAACTGATCAGAATTGTTTCCTTAGAAAATATTGATTGTGAATAGTAAAGCAGAGATCTGTCCCAATGGGTTGTGAGGGGAGCAGAGACAAGCTTGAGACTCCAGGTGCAGCTGTTAATTATTTGTGAAATAGATACTGCTCTTTGGGACCCCAAATCCAAATGCTCCTCCTCCAAATACTAGCCATGAAAGGTGATAATTTTATTTGTAATTCTGTGCTATTTTCCTCAGAACCTCATTTCTACCCTGGTGTCCTTTGTGGAAGCTCTGGAGGTTGGCAACAAGAAGCACAAAAATCCTTATCACAACCTAATGCACACTGCAGGTGTGACATGGACACTCTGTTATTGTATTTTCTCCTTTCCAAGATGGACATAGCATTAAGTGCAGGAGACAGCTAAAGCCAGACAACACTGATAGGAATAGATTGAAGGCTTAAACAAAAAGAAATAATGAGCATATGGTACATTCCCACAGTGGTTGTCAAGATAGACAACAAATATCTTTGAAGGTGGGCTAGAGAAAATTAAAACAGACAGATTCCAGAATAATGATCAACCACTACAGTTTGGGTCTGGCTGGCAGCTCAGAAAGTTGCTGGTCCACTCAGTAGGAAGAGTAAATGGTAGTGAAGGCTCGAACTGTCCAGAATACACATGTATCTCATTCTGATCCTTTTCGTGCTCCTGGTTATTGCCACAGCCAGAAAAGGAAATAATGGTCTTTACTCTGATCCTGTGTGACAGATTTTTTGTGCCTGTTATTAGTTTCATCTTCTTCCAGCACCTCATTTGCCATTGGTCCCTGCATCAGCAGAAGCATAGGGGCAAAGGTATCAGTGAAAGGGAGGTTCCCCTGTTCAGTGTTTTGTGCTGTTCTCTTGTTACACCTTGGCTATTCAGGGGTTGCTCTTTTTGTGGCTGGTACCTTAAAACATGCACTTCAGTTCTTTTGTGCTTCATTTCACTGGTGTCTCTTTGCTAACAAGTATGCAGAAGCAGCCAAGGTAAACACTTCCAGGCGCAGGGATCCTTGCAGTACAGAGAAGGCAGATGAACCCAGATCAGCAGAAGCTGAGGCTGTTGCTGCAGCTCAACCTTCTTGAACATTCAGTCATTTCATTCATGCATAGTCATTCTAAGCTCTGTAGTGAGCAACTGCTGAAGAAGAGGAATGAGATAAACCCATGGTTGAACGTGTTTTGGCCCAACCAAATGCCAACACTGTTTTGTAGATGGCCTATACAAAAGTTGCCAGTCAACATCATTGGTGGCCATGTGTGTCTATAATGCCTTTCTCTGCACAGCTTGCTGAGGAACCTGAAGAAGTGATGCTGCCAGTGTGTACCGTGTAGCAGAGCAGAGGACAGAGAGGTGCAAGCTCACAAGCCAAAGCTCAGCTCCTGCTAGATCTTTTAGGGCAATTTAAACTACTGTAGAGCTGCTTATGCTCAGGAACAGCCTTTGTGCATATGGCCTGTCTTTCTGCACTCCCTTGATTGCCACACGGATGTTGTTTTCAATTATGACAGACCTGGATGCCCTTCCCTGAGGGCATGCTCCTCCTGTAAACATGTCCTTAGTCTCCTGTCTTGAATGTAGACTCCACCTGTGCCTCGTGTTTACTGAAATTGATTTGGAAGGAATCAGGCTTTATCAGTCTCAAGAATTGATCTAGACGATTTTGATGGAATTTTGTCACTTGTTCCTGATTGTGTCTGAAGTAAATAGAAATTAGGTTGAATTTGCCACCAATACAGCTGCCTACACAAATTAATCCATTAATCCTAAACTGGTCACTGCTGCTTTTAGGGCCATTAGTTAATGAAAATGCACAGCAGGCCATTTCCAGTAAGACAAGTACAATGCTGAGGAATGGAAATTGCAATGGATCCTATTTTGCACTCTCAAACTATGGAAGAAGGGCATTTTTCCCTTGGGACTACTCTGTTCTGGAAAGTGCCTGGATGGAGCAGCTGCCCAAGTGCAGCAGCCCTCCTGCCTTTGTGTGTTCCAAACAGCCTCTTCCCAGCTTGCTGCTTCCTGGTCTGTTAGTCATTTAGCTGTGCCATTCCAGTGCTCTTCTTTCACCACTTGTCTAGATATGGAAGGTGATACTGGCTTTTGAAGTGTCCACTGGTGTCATGGGAGAAGGCTATTATATCCCTTCTTCCTGCCGCAGAATGGGACAGATTCAATGATCAACATTTCCTCTGTTTGTGGCTCACTAATATTGCATCTCTGCTGTGACAGATCTGGTCTCTTTCTGCAGGCCTTGAAGACAATTAATGGACAAAATCCATAATTTCAGTGTTTACTTACTTTTACTCCTTTTACTTACACTGAAATTCCCCATTACTTTTGTACTCTCCTTACGTGCAATCAGGGTTCAATACAGCTGGGCCACCTGTAATGGGTTAGACTTTTTCCATACACTCAGCTGATGGATACCAGGTTATTTTTCTGCATTTTGTAAACTTTTTGGGTGACCCAGGTGAAAGACTGGTGACAATTATCCCACCTGGAGTACTGCATCCAGCTCTGCAGTCTCCAGCACAG